ATACCTCCTACCGTTCTTCTATTCTTTAGGAGTGCTTTGCTTATTCGGGGCTTTTTCCCATTCCATACGAAATTGGAGATTGCCTTTTCCATCTCGTTGAAGAACGATAAATAGTTATTAAGAGTCATAAATAGTATAATTGAGATTTAGATCCAATATACAAACAATGATGAAATTATGTCTAGAAAAAATGGATTTAAAAGGTATAAAGTCAGATCAGTCTCTGGAGAGCAGAGAAAAGAGATTCAACCTAAGGAAATGGGAATTTCTGACTACAAAATCATTAAAATATCGCTCAAAGATGTAACAGTACAACAACAGTTAAGATGAGAAACCAGAGGACAGAGTGTAGATTGCAAAGGGTATAATCCATCAGAGATAGTAAGACTCTAAGCAAAAGTTTCTTCTTCTGCAAAGAAGTGTGGGGTTTTATGTTTGTTTGTTTTATTTTATTTTATTTATTTCTTTTTTTAAACTTAAATCTCTGCACACGGAAGCTTCTTGACACCAGGAAAGGCCAAAACACGTGGGATACAAGGAATGGCAGGCCTACAGATCCAGAAGGAAACACGACCTTTTCTCTTTCAATTACATAATTTAAACAAACAACAGAGAAAAAGAGACAAAGCTAGAAAGAGAAAAGTGTTCTTCAGTATTCTGAGATATTCTCCTAGAACTGACAACCTGAATTTGGGCTTTTCTCCTACTAAACTGGAAGAGAATAAATGTCTATTTGGTAAAGTGTCCACTTAATGGTATCTCTATTACTGCAGCATTGAGGACTCACAAAATTTTAAGCTACACAAAAGAAGAATTCTATAAACATGCAAATAGTAAAGAAGTCTGCATTTATTAATAGTATTAATAATATTTCTCCATTGTTTCCTAGGAATACATTAATTGTTCCAATTCTCATATTTTTGTGCCTGCAAAGTATTTAGACATTTACTAACAAATTACTTTTTTCTCTTATATAAAATGAAGCTATAATTAGAGAAAGATCTGGACTTGAAATGCTGTTGTATAGGGAAACACAAAAGAGGAGAAACAGTTGCAAGCAGACATTAGTGATTGGAGCATGGAATGTAAGAAGTATGAATTTAAGAATACTTCATATAGTTAAGGAAGAAACGGAATGCATAAATATTAACATACTGGGCGTTGGAGAACTGAGATGGGTTGGCTTGGGATGTTTTGAATCAGATGATCATATGCTCTACATTATACTGGAAATGGAAAAAAAAAGGTGAGGAAACACAAGGTTGCATTATTAGTTGAAAAGATAATTTCTAGATCCATCTTGGAATACAGTTTGTGAGCAACAGGGTTGCATCCATAAGCATACAAGGAATATCCGCTAATATCACTATCATTCAAATATATGCACCAACAACCAGAGACAAAGAGAAGGAAATAGAAGATTTCTACTAACTTACAGTCAGAAATCAAATGAACTTGCAACCGAGAGGCCTGAGTAACAAAGGGTGCCTAAGAATGCAAAAGCTGGAAACAAAAAGGAAGGGTCAGCAGTCAGA